AATGGTGATTAATCATAATAGATTTGTAGAGTGGGGGTAGGAAAATTGACAAGTCAGTTCAAGGTTATAAAAGGGTGTCAGGTGAGTGGCTAGTACAAAGTGGTCTGTGTTAAACAGGAGATAGTAAGACTGCATTGGGAGGTTCATAATGAGATAACGAATATGTGAAATGAAACAGGTGGAGGCATATATTGAGAAAAGAGATTATATCACTAATAATAAGTCCGGATAGTATGAAGGAAAAAAAAATTCGATAGTATTGAGAGAATGTTTGCATGAAGGGCATAAATTATGACGAATAATGATAATATTGATAATAATAATAGTAATAATTGTAATAATAAGCAAAGGAAAAAAAAAAGCCAAGAGGGTTAAGGGGAAGGAGCACTCTTGGTGAGAAGAAGAATCATCAATCCAAGTTTGGCCACGGTAGGAACAGCGTCTGGACGTGTTCTTTTTTGGATACAAAGTTCCGGTTTAGTCGATCTTATTGCAACAGCTTCAGCTATGTGTAGAAGACGTAAGCGAACTGTACGTGATAACGACTTCGGAATTCGGTATATAACCCTGAAAGCTGTGTTGACATCGATATGATGTCCAGTATCGACCAAGTGTGACAGGATCGAGCTTTTTATGCATTTAATTTCCCCTCACACCCCATAACTAATCTGTTATTCTACGTTAAAAAATGTATCTGCCGCATATCTGGCCTTATTGTAACGACAACAAATATTATATTTTATAATTGCAAGTATAGAATGACTGATCACAGAAAAATGAATAGCTTGCAGTAAAACTCAGCTATCGTAATGCATACACTAACATTTTTGTTTTATTCCTTCACGTTCCCAGTGGAACATAAGGTTTCAAGCTAGAGGCTTGAAGTTTCTGTAGCAGTGGTATCAGTTTTTATAGGATGCGGTTGCTGGCCTCATGCCCAACCTTCCCTCTTTACCACCTTTATTTCCGGCTTAGCGAGGTAAAGAATTGCGTCGGCCGGGAATCGAACCCCAGACCATGTGCATGGTCGGTAAGCGTCCTAACCACTGTGCCACCGACGCACTTACACTAACATACAACTACCCAATTGGGTGAGACTTAGCTATAGTCTTTAAAAGTAATATAAGTAGGTTGAAGGAGATGCCGATCACTCAATCTTCACTCATCGAATCTACACCTAATGAGTGAAATAGTAATGACTCGACACCAACACCAGAGATATACAAAATATTACTACTAATAAAGTCAAAGGATAAGAAATAATGGAATTATGTAGACAGAGTGTGGAAGTTTTTTCAATACCTTGATGTAATTATGAACAGCGATAAATTATGCTCTAAACGCTATCAATAAACAAGTAATACTACACTTCCGGATGTGTTATATCAAATGAAATTTCCCGCCGACGAATTAACTCTTCACATGTCAGTTCATTTTTTGATCATATACGCATAGTATTTCACTACATAACATTTCGCGATGTGAATATCCCTGTAGTGTAAGTCGAGCTTGTTGCTCTACAGATGACTTTCAAAATTAGAAAAAGTAGCATTATGTGGATTGGAAAGCTACCCTAAACTAAATTCAGTAAACAAAAACGCAAAACATTTGGGATAGTGAACTTGCATACGTATGTGACGAATATACCTTAAACTATTGCAAAATGCTTCTCTTTTTCCACTTTCACTTCATTTCAAGAGTACAGATTCATCAACATATCTATTATGTTTCATTTTCAAGCTAATAAAAAGGAATTCTATAGGCTTATATAACAATTTGTTGTGATGACAACAATAACAAACAGGCATTCGTGTGTTCTTCATTTTGGACAGTCAGTAAATAAAGTATTATGCAGGTTTAGCATCAAAGCGAGCTTTTGGGAAGCTAGTAAGGAGTTTATTAGTTTGAAAACAGTGTGAAGATTCAAAACATCACTAGGCACAAGAAATAGGATCGTAATTTCAAACACTAGTCAAATGGTCTTGAGACACCACCAAACTCATTTACAACAGGCTAGAATAGACTTTCATCAATAGCTGCTGCCTTCGCTCGGTAATGATGATCAGATGGGAGGAAAGGATAACCAACTGGGAACCAGCCAAGTTTCTACTGACCAGCAAATATTCTGAAGGAAATCGACAGGGATTGGACATCCGATGGGTAGATCTTCAAGTGAAAGCTTACACCAGGCCCTCGAATGGAAAGTGACGAGCTGAGCAACTGAGGGTGGTATGGAAAACATCAAGTAGGTGGAAAATGAAAGCTCTAGGGCAGTACTGGCGCCATCTGACCAGTGGTTATTGTGTCTCTGAGGCTTCATGTTCCACTTTGAACATCACGGATGAATAATAATGATAGGTTAACTCCGCTTTTCTGAACTACTATTCCATTTCATTTGACTTTCAGACTTCTTTCAAAATTGAAAGAATACATTTAATTATTATCAAAACGTAAAAACTGGTTGATTAAGTTAAAAGGGCTGATTAGCTCAGTGTTGTTTAACTGTTAGATGAAACTATGCCAAAATCTTAGACAATTGGTTACATTTTGGCTATTTTTCAAATAAACACAAATCAGAGTTAAGAAAGAACAAATATAATGTTAATTGACAAACACACTGCGTTGTAATAAATAGCATTTTAGAAGGTATTCAGTTGCACAACTTGAAATTTGCAATTAACGCGGTGGTCAATCATAGTTGAACTAGGCGATTCTTAAAAGCGATAGAACAATTAATAAATATGGTAAAATCAATTTCTATTCTTTACAGTTTTTACTGCTTCCCTTCAGATACGGGTTGACAGACATTTGCGCTGAAATTCCAGTATATACTACGATCGGTTTTACATGTATAGGTCGTTTGATTTCTTACTTAAACCAGAACACCAATATCAGGATCCAAGGGGCACGAATCAGACCAGGAGACACCATTCATTTACCACGGCACCGTGCAATTGCACACACTACATATGTCAGTGTGACACAGACATAAATACGAATGCTAAGAATGTGTAAGCTTTGTAGTGTGTGGAGAGATAAAGAGAGGTCTGTTGGATAATTACAGTGAGGTTTCTACATTCATGCGGACATATACTCCAGGGGATAATAAGTTCACCGCCTTAAACACTTGACCATATCAGTGCCACTGTTTCCTTCTTACATATTAGTTATAGTGACGGGAATGCTACAGTTTATTGCAGGTTTAAGTTATTTTTTGGGGTGTCTATCTGACCATCGAAATAGTTTGATTAGTATATGGTGTCAGCGAAATTAACCAGCATTTAGCTACAAGCATACTTTATCATAAGCACCCACCAACTTATAATTAATTCACCAGCAAGTATTTTATGACCATTGATAAAAATGCCATTCTCATTTCTTACAGTACATAATATTGCCAACAAATAAGAACCTGTAGTTGCTGGCATGAATTTAATGGTATCCTAGTAACCACATAATTGACTGCCTATTTATGCATCATTGGTAAACTACTGATTTGATTCTCACCTGTAGTCATCTGCTGTAAGAGCAGTCAGTTGCAGTATAGAGAGGAAAACGGAAGGTCGTATCTATCCACAACTGCAGTTTTTTCCCAGTCATTTGATATGTGTAACAGCTGTCAAAGTAACTCCTGTCGTAACAGATGGTTTTTATGATTATCTAAAGTATCGCTGATTCAGTAATTTCTGTAATGATCCAAGGTCAAATCTGGTGAATGGATTACTCACCTACCTCACAGTTTGTTGAGCTGTGTGATAACTTTATTCGGTATTAGCAAACTAATTTTCATAGCACTGACATCTTATTCTTAAGCTCGGAGGACAAACCTGCCTTCCGTTCAGCAATCAGGTAGATTCAGATTTTGTGTGTAGTTGACTACATTTGTAACATTATCAGTGTGGTGCCAACGAAGTTCTCGACTGATTACAGGATTTAATTATGAGTTGACGACTGTTAGAAACCATAGGAGAAGCTGGGGGTACTGCACAGTTAAGTCGTCTTAGTTTGGAACCCTTCAGCAGTACACATCCACCGGTTCGAGTCCCAATGGCTTAATGGTCTACGAGCTCGCCATGTAATCAGTCTCCTGGGTTCGAACCATGGTGGATGCATACTGATGATGAGTATCAAACTAGGACGAAACAGAAGTTCTCACTTCTGGCTAGACAAATAAGCGTGAAAATTTATCCAGTATTTTCATTTGAGTCAAACAGAAGGTCAATCTGTGCGTGGATATCTCAGAATCAGGTTTATCAGTGCATAAAATAAGGCAATGAGAGTAAAATTTCTTAATTTAAAACAGCTTTCTGCTGTTTGAGTAATGTGCTCTTAAAATAAAATCAATAACCATGAAGTTCGCAGTTACGTATAGCTTCTTAACAAATACCGCTCACTAGTTTACATCTAACCTTTTCAGTGACTCATAAAAGTGACCAATAAAATAATTCCATTCTATTAAACATACAATTCTTTCAGCTGGTGTGTTTTGTTACTCTGTACACAAAATACTCTGTTAGAATTGCTTATATCATCTTTGTTCATTGAGATCTTTTTCCATTTCGATACAGATTTGACTGATGTTAGACAGACACTTCTAAATTGAGTCTTTCGGCTTACTCATGTTTGAGAGCAATATTTATGTGCAAAACACATTCAGAGGATACCTCGTCAGGACGCATAAATCACAAGTCATTCATTAGGAATATCAGATATAATTTCACTGATTCAATTTTTAAAATAGGCACCTTTCTTTCGTTGGCTTTGTTTAAACGAATTTACACATCAAATTCATTGATTCTAGTGATAACACCGTGGGATGTATTCCAGTATTTTTATTACACAAACCATGTGTGCACATATCTGTTTGACAGCATAAAGATATTACAAATTTAGAACCTGTGATGCCAGTCTTATATGTGAAGGCTATTCAGTGGGTATACATGTAGAAAAGATTAATAAGGCATAAAAGTCTCCAAAATTTTTTAACTGAATAAACTTACTGCATATAAGAAGTGATAAATTTATTCAAATTTTTCGGATTAATTGAATGACGCAGATTTTGACGAAAACTTTCAACAGCATTGCGTAGCTCGACTTCACTGTCAGTTTCAACTACCTATGAAAAAATATAATTATGCAATACATTTCAGAGGATTAGTTCAAATTGAAAAGAAAACAAACAACAAGTGAACTAGATTAAAAAGAAAATTTCATTAACTGATCATCAGCCAAGCTAATATTATGTGTAAACCTTTGCACTGTGGTAGTTTGTAATTCCATATTATTCAGAACAAAAATAATTAGAGCAGACAATTGTGGTTTCAGTAAATTACTCTTCAAGCTGTACAATTATAAATCCATTAATTTAAGCATACAATAGCCAGCCAGTAAAGGTAAAATCATATTGTGGAACAAGTATAAGATGGGATGGAACAACATTCAGTAAGTTTTTATTGTCATTTAGAATATGCATTGTCAATAAGAATATGAGGTAAAATTAGATGAAGTAATTCAATTATATATGTACATATATATCGCCAACAAAGTACAGGTTTCAAGGGTGAGTGTAGTCCGAGTGCATAAGACAGTAGGAATTTTTTTAATATTTTTTAAATTTTTATTCCTTTACGTTCCCAGTGGAACATAGGGTTTCAAGCTAGAGATCTGAAGTTTCGGTAGCAGTGGTGTTTGTTTTTATAGGATGCGGTTGCTGGCCACATGCCCAACCTTCCCTCTTTACCGGTTTTATTACTGGCTTAGCGAGGTAAGGGAGTGCGTCGGCCGGAGATCGAACCCTGGACCACATACATCATTGGCGAGCATTCTATCTCTGTGCCACCGACACACGAGGCAGCATGAATAGTACAGAAAAAAAACAAGGAATAGGATAGACTAGACATATGCTCAAGGGTGACAAATAACAGTAACAATGATGAAATAATATTGAGGGTGTTGTGTAAAATAAAAGTACTATTAGTGAACGATTATCTATTAATAATGAAATGAATGAAGTGGGATGAACACGATTGTGTAAGTATAATGGCAAGTTTGAAAAGCATTGTGTAAATATAAGGTAATAAGCATAATAAGACATGTCATGAAGTCGTAGAAGGTCTGAGATAAACGTTAGTCAGTGAAAGAAAGGGAGATAGAAGAAACATTGGGGAGGATTTCACAGTGCCAATGTTTGTGAAGGATTTATTGACCTTATTGTAGGTCAAGGTAAACATGGTGGCTGTAAATACTTCTCTTTACAAAGACCAGGTCTTCTGATACTAATTAACTGTTATTATTAATATTAATAACACTTTATTCTACCTCTTATTATTATCATTCTTGATTCATTTAAAACTATCTTTTATCAGCAGCATTATCTTGACTCACTTCAGCATTATTATTATTATTATAAACTATTACTATTGATATTACTCTGTTTGCAATTCTTGATATATTCTCTAATGACTAATTGTTTATCTAAGTGATGTAATTGAAGCGTAATGCATTTTATCTTCATTTCAATCACTCATACTCCCTTCCCACTTATCTATTTGAACATGACCTGGAAGACATTCGCACCTGACTTTCTGCATTATTAATTCAAAGTAGTTTATTTGCTTATCAGTCTTATATCTCCCAATGTAATTTCAATAGTTATATATATCCCCGTATGTAGAGTATTCAGCTGACGAGTTCTACCGAAATTTGATGAATTCATTAAATCCTGCTTTATTAACCTTTGTTGCTTGTTTTAAATTCGTATCGGGAAACAAATGTTTTCACTTCTTCAGATACTGACTACTGATGCTTCCGTTACTGACAGAAGACGCAATCGAGCTCCTCTGGAAAGATTATTAGGAACGTGGTACATAACCGAGAACTCCTGCTCTGGCTTTATTGAGTCTCCAGTATCTACCAAGTGGACTGCACTATTTACACATTCGGTTAATTCTTTAATCAACCGTACAGGTACATGTTCACGTGCGCGCATGAATAACCCCTCTGAGTACTGTCAATGTAACCAGCTCCACAAAAGCAGTTGAATTCACAGATGCACACTGATGAGGCCATCAATGGTAATTTGTGCTTGACTCGTTGTGCAAGTACTGGTTTAGTTGAGAAATTGCTTTAGTAAGTCAGCATTTTCGATTGTCTGTCTTCCTTTGTAAATTAGGATAAAAAGTTTCCTATCTATGGCATCCTTCTTAACCCTATCTCTACGTATCGACATGTACATTTTTATAAGGTTTTCTGGATATGCATTTTCTTGTAGTGTGAGCTTCAATCTACACATTTTTTTCTTTAATGCATTCCTCTGAACATATGCGCTTTATTCTATAGTTAGCATAACTAAGTTCTGCTTCTAATGAAGCGGTGCAAAGCTATGAAAACAGGTGTACTGACCTGTCCAAGTCTTCGTTCTAAACAGATTTCTATGCAGACATCCGTCTGTCTTCTTCTTCGGGTGAAGGACACCTAGGAAGTTTTATTTTTCTGTAGTATTCATTTTGTTTGATGCACCACTGCCTACATCCACCCTTGAAACCCGTAGTTTTGATGACAAAATATAAATAATTGAATTATTTCATTTTCTATAGTTTGGTTTGTAAGGGTTAGTTATGTTTTTATGAGTTGATCACGGATTGATATCAGTTAGAGAACCATTGAAAACAAGCAGGGAGTACTGGAAAACAGCTGTTTCATCCTAGTTTGGGAATCATCGGCAGTACGCACCCACCACAGGATGTTCGAACCCAGGACCTTCCGGTTACAAAACAAGCTGGCTCGTATACCATTCAGCCACTGGGACCCGATTCAATGGCCAGCCAGTGCATGAATTCTAACTTCTACCAATTCGTGATTTAGCGCGACTCCAACCAATGTCGTCGGTGGGACATCCATCCTCACACGTGACATCTGGATGGACCCCACTGGTCACGATTTCTCACTAGAACTCCAGGAAACTCCATCCTGTAGCAAGTCACTAGCGAGCATCAGATTATTTTTCTATAGTTTGGTTTGTAAGGGTTAGTTATGTTTTTATCTCATGTTCCTACTGACTATGCATATTCTAAATGACAATAAAAACTAACTGATTATTATTCAGTCTTATACGTGTTCCACACCACTGTATGTGCGTCGGTGGCACAGCGGTTAGGACGCTCGCCAACTATGCACATGGTGTTCGGTCCCCGGCCGACGCACTCCTTTACCTCGCTAAGCCAGAAATAAGACTGGTAAAGGGGGAAGGTTGGGCATGAGGCTAGCAACCCCATCCCGTAAAAATAAACACTGCTACAGAAACTTCAAGCCTCTAGCCTGAAGCCCTATGTTCCACTGGGAAAGTGAAGGAATAAAAAAAACACCACTGTATCACTATGAATTTTTTATCAAATCATGTTATTCTATGATGGAATTATATCCTACAACAGTATACTAATACTATTCTCATATCGACAAATCAGTTATTCCTTATTAATTTGTTTATTGGCTATATCACACAGTGAACGAAGTAGTATTATTTATTGAATGACAAGGTTTCAAACACAATTTGCTACTCTTCATAATCACATCAACCATAACTATACAACTCTGCAACTTGAGTTTTATAGTTTTCTTTATTCCTTTCCATTCGTTATCCGGGTAGAGAAACTTTCCAGATGTCCAGGACAAGTGTTCAATCATTCCTATTGAATGTATTTCGAGTTGATTCGACAAATAAATCTTCTGTTATCAGTGCCTCCTTCCACCGTATTATGTTGGATTCTACGGGGTTGTCATTTTATCTCATCCTACTGCATGGCTGAATTTCGGTTCAACCCACCCTATGTTAATAAGCATATTACTGAATAAATGTATAAGTGACAGGAGAGAACAATCAAAACGTTTCCAAAAAAATTTGGGGTAGGAAGTAATAAATATGAGGGAAGTTTTAAAATTAATTAATTACCCCGTCAAATTAATCAGGCAGCATGTAAATTGTAAAACTGTAAAATAATTAATAATGTTAACAGTAATTATGACATACGTGGTGAACCTACAAAGAGGGATGACATAATCAACAATAAGGAATTGAAAACGCCAACAGTGTCTCCATACAAATAAGGAACCTCAGAAAGCATACTTAGATTTCTTAACATAGCATTAATAAAAGTATCATTCAAACTCACAAATTCACTTCGAAACAAAAAAGGATCCTGTAGAGCCCATTCAACATAGCAATTTAGTTTGTCTAATATGTTTTTTCCCTTTACATCCCCAGTAAAACATAAGGCCTTCTTCTAGAGCTTTGAAGTTTCGGTAGCAGTGGTATCTATTTTTACGGGACGGGGTTGCTAGCCTCATGCCCAACCTCCAGTCTTTACCAGTCTTAATACTGGCTTAGCGAAGTTTGGGAGTGCGTCAACTGGGGATGGAACCCCGAACCACCTGCGTGGATGGCGAGCATTCTATCGCTGTGCTACCAACGCCTCAATTTGTCTTATACCCTATGTTGAGTGATTAACTCCAGTCAGACGAATGACTTAGGAAAGGGAATCAACGATCCTGATCGATGCACTAGGACACAAGAAGGTTGGATAGAGCTACAGTTCTTAAAAGTAATATGGTTAGTTGGAAGGAGATGCCGATCACTCAGTCTTCAGTCATGGAATCTACACTTGATAAGTTAAATAGTAAGGAATCGACACCAACACCAGAGATATGCAAAATATTACTACTAATAAAGTCAAAGGATAAGAAATAGTGGAATTATTTAGACGCAGTTTGAAAGTTATGTGGGCATCTTGATATGATTATAAGCAGGGATAAGTTTTGCCCTGAATGTCATCAGTAATGAATACTGTATCACAGTTACTTTTATCAAATAAAATTATTCTGTGTTGAAGCATATCAACCATTGTAGTCATTAGTGTGACTTATTGATAATTACTCACTGTGCTAATATAACGGTAAAAAAAGATAAAAATAGGCATATTATTCATCCTAATATTGTTATTATTGGTGGCTAGCAGTGGAATCCAGTTCAGGGAATTCGGCACTGCAGAGCTGTATGTACCTGTATGCTTAGTGAGCGATAGTCAGCCGCATTAAACCTCGGACCCAGCATCCATCGTTACC